TAATACCAACACAGTCTGAGAAGGGCCTCTTCATCTGAGGGGCCTGCAGGACAAAGCCCTCACGAGATGGCATGAGGACTACACAAGACCTCAGATATGGATGGGAGAGGATAGCCCCCCTGCCCCGCCACCAGTTGTGCAACTCTGACCCTCAAGCAGCTCGTGAGCTTTGGGGCTTCTGAAATGCAGTGAGGGTAGTGGACCGCCAGGATGGCCTGAGAGGAGGGTGATGGACACTTGTACGGTCCCTGCAACATCTTCTGAACTCAACTGCATCCAGCTCCAAGGTGTCTTCTCCTATTTCCACTGTCCTCTTTAAATGAAGTGCTTAATTTTAGATAGAGCAACTTCTTTCATCTCAGAACAGGCAGGATCTGGCTTGATTCCCACAAAGAAGTTCATTCTCTGAAGTTCATTCTCCCAACGAAACTATTTACTCAGGGCTGGATGGGCAGTCGTGTCCCATCGGCCCAGAAAGGCTGCCTCTGAATGCGAGAACAGAGTCTTCATATTAATTAACATCTTCATAGAAAGAAAACTCTCCAGGGAGTATCTATTTGATTATTCGTATTTACTCAGTGATTCTGCTGCGTGGCCGTTCCCTCCCCTCATTTCTAAGGAGCCTAAATGGATTCTGTAAAAGGAAAGGAAACAGCGCAGCCTTTGGATGAAGACTCCAGGGCAAGAAAGGGGAGACGGTTGATTCTTCTGCTGAATGTGGGCCTCTCTGCTCTAAAAGCTGCTACCAAGCATCGTGATGCTTACGTGTATGTATCCTGTGTTGCTGGGATGCTTGCAAGTCGTCAACGTGGGAAACAGGAAGACATCTACCTGGAAAACGTTTATGACAGGAAGCCCAGCGCCACCCAGAACCTTCTAAGTGACCGCTCTAGTGGGTGGTGTGCCTGCCCCATCTCATTCCGTTCTCATACCTGCCCCCGGATGGGAACCACATGAGGAATTCCGAGATATTGATTGACTGATTGACTGTGTACTCATTAACTATTAGTTTAAGTAATTAATGGGTGGCTACCATGAGCCAATAGAGAAAACTAAGAATGCTGCTACAACTTTCCTCCTGTTTGCATTTATTAGGCACCTTGTTGGAACCAGCTGCTGGGCTGTACGGGGCTTGGGGACACACTGATGAATCAGACAGATCCAGTCCCTGCCCTCGGAGAGCTTCCAGTCTACTGAATGAGATGAACTTATAAAAGTCTCAAGGCTGGAATGTAAAGTGGAGAACAGCCCCTCACAACGCGAATTCATACCCCCTTCTTTAACAGGCTATAAAATGACATATTTGTACACACACGCCCCACCCTGGTCCAACACCCACAGTGAGATATGCATGTCTGCTCTCTAGGGCCGGGGCCTGGGATGTGTCACTGCGAACAGCAGGCGAGCAGTGGCTCCAGCGCCCTTGTACTGGAAGCCTGCTTCTGCCTGAGCTCATTTATTCCAAGGACCATCTGGGCACAGAGAACAATGTGCTCTCCTATCTGAGTGACCGGCCGTATTAGTCATACCCTCTTAGCTCGACCCCTCTGTCCCCTAATCTTCACAATTTCCTTCAGTCCCTTTGACGGAGGCCGAGGACTGGCTCTCTTTTCTCACCTCTCCCTTGGCTGGAGAGGTTCGTCTGGGACAAAGAGCTCAGCCCTCATGCCTGTGGGTCCAGCAGTCAAAAGGGGACAGGCTGCCTGAAAAGCCTCCTCCGGCCCCAGCTCTTCTGGCCCCACTGTCTTGTTTGGACATGGGGATAAACTCCCCTGACAAGGCTTGCCCCAGGCTTCCCAGGGCTTCCTGGCCCCAAGCCAGATGGACCTGAGAATTAGCTCAAGGCAACTCACGTCCTAAAAACTCCCCTTGAACCAGCCCCGCTCCCTTCCGATAACCCCACATGCTCACCAGCACTTCGGCGTGTGGCGCGTACGCACCATCCCATTCTCATCCACATCTGCCTTACACTGTCCTCCAGCTGTTCAACCTAGGGAGCATCATATCTATTTTTTCTTGAAGCTAGAGCTCCTCCAGAGCAGGGAAGAAAAACAGTCTTCTACTTTCATCTCCCTCACAGACTAGCAATAGCTAGATCCAGCATCCCAACTCCATTTTGCAGTAAGAATGAAAGACTCTCCTTCTTGGTGGGGACGGTGTAGCTCAGTGGGAAGGTGCATGCTTGGCATGCATGAGGTCCTGGGTTCAATCCCTAGTACCTCCATTAAAAAATTAATTAACTAAAAAGAGAGAATGAATGACCCCCAACACAGAAACTCTGAATTTTCTGGCTGAAATAAAGAGTTTAAAATGCTGCTTCTATATATACAATGGAATACTATTCAGCCATAAAAAAGAATGAAATAATGCCATTTGCAGCAACATGGATAGACCTGGAGATTGTCATTCTAAGTGAAGTAAGTCAGATAGAGAAAGACAAACACCATATGATATCACTTCTTTGTGGAATATATCAAAAAAAGAAAGGCCACAAATGAACTTATCTAAAAAAACAGAAACAGACTCATAGACATAGAGAACAAACTTATGGTTACTGGGGGTAAAGAGGGTGGGAAGGGACAAATTGGGAATTCGAAAATTGCACCTCTTGGGGAGTGATAGTTATCTTGATTGTGGTGGTGGTT